GGATACTTTGATTCCTGTTTTGAGGATTACAGGCTGTCGAAAGTGAAAATGGAAAAAGCGGCCTGTGCCAAACTTGAGGGAAACGTTGGACGCAGAACCAAACAACCCCTTTCAGCGGAGAGTTATGCAAAGTTCAGGCGATGCCTTGGCAAATTGGCCTGGATGTCACAAACCAGAGAGGATCTTCACATCTTTGTCTCGCTACTTGCAACTGGGCAACATGCGCCTGATGAAAGGTATGAGAAGGGGATAAAGCAACTTTTGAGATTCCTCTTATTGGATGGCGAATTTGAATTGAGTTTTCCAGGTGCTCAGGTGCGGACCTGGAGAGCGTTGGGAAAGAAAAGTTGATCACACTTTTCTGTGACGCGAGTCACGCACCTATGAGACTGACTCAGAGGAAAGGCATCAGTGGCGCTTTCATCTTTGTGTTGAACTTCTTGATATAAGCATTCAGTCGACATCAGAGCTGCGTCAGCCTGAGTTCCTGTGAAAGCGAACTCTTCAGTATTCAAGAATCTGTGCAGGAGGCGGTTGGTTTGTTGCCCATGGTGCGAAAGTTGGTGTTTGAATTTTTCAGGGGTTTTGAAGGGTTTGAGGGTAAATCATTCCCAATCCGCCTTTTGACAGGTTCAGAAAGCGGAAGACAACTGGTTGAAGGTTTGGATACCCCTCGGAAAAGTCGGCATACCGAGGTTCGAATCTATTGGGTAAGAGATCAAATGTCTCAGTGGGTTACGATTTCTTGGATTGCGGGTGAGCTGAACGTCAGTGATATCCTCGCAAAGTGTCTTCGTATCACTTTACTCATAGAGAAGCGATTGGATTCACGAAAGTAGGTCCAGCCCAGCTGGCCACTGTGTCTGCAGTTGAAGGTTTGGCAAAGATGGGAAAGAAGGCCTTGATTTTGATTGAACTCTGCTGTCAAGAGAATTTCTGCGTTGAAGAGAAAGAACCGTGCGCTTTCCTACTTTGGCATTTCTTCGAAAGCGGAAGAGCAACAGACGGTGGACAACTTGTGTGAGTTGGTACAGCGTGCAAGTGCAGCAGCTAGAAGAGAAGGGATGAGTGTGCATGTACATACACACGTTCCGTGTCCATGCGCATCAGGTTCACCTATCAGGTTTTTGTCAGGCATGAACGATGAAGGTGACATCAGGTTTGGAGAGCTAGAGCCAATCCTAGGTAAGCTGAAGCAATACAGAAGCATGTCCCTTGAGTGGCCGCTACACAATGCTCTTTGGGGCTTTGAAGGCATTAAGGAGTTGTTGGTAGACCTTGGACTTACAAAAGAAGCTGTTGTACGCTTGTGTCGAATGGGTGTAGCTAGAGAGAGGAATCCACAGGTGCTCGTTTGTAAGCGCCTGAGGTTTGTGTCGGACAGTGAAGCCTTTGTCGACCACTGCGAAAGTACCAGGCGTGTGAGTGCGCAGAGCGTGCGACGTTTGGCCAAGTTGATTGGTCAAGTACAGCGTTTTACAACGACAAGCTGGCGCGTGTGTTGAACGGTGCGTGTAGAGCGGCTATGGATGCACGATGATGACGCAACATGCTCGCGGATGTTCCTGAGTGCAGTAACACCATACCTGTATTCACACCCAGTTGCGTTTTTGTGTGAGCTCAAAGTTTCACTTGATACTGGAAACAAGACTTGTTTTTGGAGACAGTGCACAAGAGCATATGAAGGAGCTCCTAGGGTCGCTATCGAGGCCACTGTGCAAGTACCTCGGTGTCAGGATGCTTTCTAGACGCGGACTAACTAAGTTAGGGTTGCTATCGAAGCCACTGTGCAACTACTTCGGTGTCGGGTCGCGTTCTAGTTGGTTTGGATTGTGTTTGCGTTCGCGGTAAATAGATAACGCGTGTGATATAGGATGCAGTTGCATGTCTTGTGAAACGTGTGGATGTCTTGTGAAACAAACGTTTTTCTTGGAAACAGAAAGAATGCAGTTGCTTGTCTTGTTTTGTCTTGTGCAGTTTTGGACGGAAAGAATGCAGTCACATTTAAGACTAAGATGTGTAGCTATTAACTTGCAGTTTTCCTTTCAGTTTGAAAGGGGGAAAGATTTGTAGCCTATCTATGTCAAAGAGCTGGATAGTAATGGAGTTTGTTGAAGAGCATCTCTTCGAGATGATGCTCGTGGGAACTTTTGCTTTGGGTTGGGTATCTTGCTACCTAACTTTGAAGGTGTTTGAGGTGAGAGGTGGTTGTAAGAAGTTGGAAAAGGGGAGCCAGACGCTGGCGAGCACGGAGAGTTCAGGTTCAGGAGGTTGAGAACCTGAAGGTGTTTCAAAATGGATATGCTTAGCGCAAGGTGACGTGCAAGCATGTCAGGAGCAGGCCGAATCAAGGAAAGGTGTACCAGCCGTGCTTGGATTGCATTGTACAGGGTGGGCGTTGACGCAGGTTCCGCATGAGGAGGCGCCTGTGCGAGTCTTCTGTGCGTAATGTGCCTTGCTTGCGGGTGCTGGGTGTCTCTAAGAAACATTGCACCCCCACTTTTTGCCGGAGCCATGGAACGTAATGTCAGCGGGAGCTTTCTGGTTGGAACTCTTCGAACCCTCGAAAGGGGGTGTGAAAATTCATGGTTTGAGAGGCACCGTTGGTGGCTAGCTCGTGCGAGAGTCTGCGAGTTCCCTCTGGGTACAGTGAGAACTTTGGAACCAATGATCAGCACGAGAAATTGCTGGGTGGAGTCCATTTGATGATTCTGGAACTGGAATCAGTGCTTGTGAGATTGGACGCAAGGGTTGGAGTGAATTCCTCCCTCAGGGGAGCGCATGTCCTTTGAAGTGTTTGAAGAACTTCGAGCTTTCTTAGCTCGAAGTACCCTTTGAATCATTTGAAGAGTCAGAGCGAAGTGTCCTTTGAAGAATTTGAACCATTTGAAGAACTCCGCGAGAATTGTCCTTTGAAGCAAAAAAAATTTTGTGGAAGGAAGTGTTTTTTGAGTATTTGAAGAGCAAGTGCTTGGTGGAACCAAGCGTGAACGTTTGAAGAACTTTTGTGACTCATCCTCCTCGGATGATTAGCGGAAAGTGTCCTTTGAATACCTGGATTCACCATTGTAAAGACTCAAGGAGTCCAGATTGGAATATCAATTTAACGGAATCGTTCGAGGGAACGATTTGGATCAACTGGCGAGAATGGAGCCTTTGCCTGAGAGAAGGTTTACCAATGTTGACTTGTTTGTTTGAAGTGCGAACACTTGGTGGAACCAAGTGTCGACTGGGAACTGGAACTGTGTAAAGAAACCAAAAGGGTTCAGAAACAACTGAGACTGTTTCAGTGCAGTGGGATGTGCTTCGTGTGCCGTGCTCTGTCGATCGGATCGCTCGAGCGGGTGGTTAAGCCTCGTGGTGCTCACTACCTCTCAATGATGACATCATGGTTCGGCCACGATCCCATTTGAGGTGATCTCATGTGGACCGTTCCGTCTGAGGGGGGTAGTGATCACCGACGGTGTGAAGACTTGGAAAGAGAAGTTAGAAGGTTGGATGTTCTTGCAGAACGTCTGGCTCAAGAGAATGAGAAACCATTTCTCTCGTGGTCCTTGTTGGCCCTTTTGTGTGTTTGAGTAACGACACCAGTGCCTGCGAAAAGGGTGCTTTGTGCTGTGAGGATTTGCTAGGGTGCTTTCGGAAAGTGCCAGGAACTGTGCGTTCGTGTCGCACGCTCAATCGTTGGAACTTTGCTTCTTAGGAGGTTTAGTTTGTAGAAGGTCTTTTTGGACCCTGTTTGGGTTTAAAATTTCCGCAAATGCACCCTCATTTGCACTTCAACGATGCAAGTTTGATCTCAATGCACGCTCCAAAAGACAAAAAAACACAAAAATGCCAGATCTTGATCGATGCTTTGCTGTCAGGGTTGTCAGTTGGTTGTCCGACATGGAACAACGCTTTTGGCTTTCATTTTTGTGTGTTTTGCTTTGTTTCACACTTCTATCTGTTTCATTCAGCGACCATGGCCAAGTGCCAAACGCACTTTCCGAAAAAAACGGATGCTGGGCATTCCAGTTCATCGCACGAATGCAAAAACTTTTCGCATGAGGTCAACCACACCGTCAACGCAACTTCCCGAAGAGCCGTTTGTTCGGCATTTTGCAAATTTGAGAAAGGGTCGAAAGAGGCAATGGATTGCTAAAGTGCTTCTGGACATGCACCCATGCTGTGGACACAGAACGAAGTTGAAGAGTGGCGTTTTCATAAACTCCACATTGTGAAACAGGTTGTATTTCAGTTAAACAAATTTCCTGGGTGGCCGTCAGCAGTTTTTGCGAGAAGAGCCTTCAAGAATCCAAATGAAACAAATTTAGGCCCAGAAAATAGAAAAAACAAGGGCCCATATTTTGTTGTTTAAGGGTCGCCTTTTTTGATTGGATCTACTTTGATAGGTGGTTAAAAATCAACATGTCATACACAAGAAAGTTGTTGGCCCGTCGTTTGTTTTGTTCTGTGAAACTTGTCATACTTTTGCAAGTGAAACAAATTAAACCGCACTGTGGACCGCGTCCTCTCCTTTTCATCGTCGTGGCTTTCTGCCGTTGGCCGAACACTTCTTCGAGCGCGGCATGTGTGGAGGTTTGCGCCCGTGAGTTTCACAGTATTTTCCTGCAACTTCCCGGCTGACTTTGCGTCGAGCAACATGGCAGCTTCACATCTTTTTTTTTACTTTCTTTCTTTGTCTCATTTATTTTTTGCAATGTTTCGGTGTTAACATTTAGCTTGAAACACAAAATTCATTCTTCAGAAAAGAAACTTCGAAATGAAATGGTTGGAGTCCTTTGTTTCAAATTTCTGAAGTTGGTCTCTATTATGTACCAGGATTAGTGATGAGCACCTCTTGTTGAATGGTCAACAGTCCCAGGATGCAGGAAGAGCTTGGATGTCCGCAGGCATTTGCCATGCCAAACATACAAATGATAATTGTACATCAGGTCATCTAGCCAGACCAAAACCAACCGGACACGGCAGTTTCCAGCAGCTTAGGTTTTCTTGTACTTTTTTGTTGTGTGCCAAAAAAGTCACCTCGTTCCAACTAGCTGCAACCATGGTGCGGTCGGCGAGCCGTTCTGGATGGTCCATTTTTCATGTGGTTTTGGCGATGCTGCTGAGCTTTGAGCTGAAGGTTGGGTCACGAGGACGTGATTTCATCTTTTTTTTGGTAATTTTTCTGATAGTCCGTCGCCATGCTCATGCGTTGCCATTACAACAAAATAACTTTGTAGCGATCTGGTGCGGATTTCTTCGGGGGTCTTTATGTACAGGTCTATCATTGAGGGCCATTGAGTTTTGACTCAATCATTGGTGCTTCGGCTATATGCAAACCTGCTGATGTACCGTGAAAGTTCTCGCAACGAGTGCAGGAACTGCAGAGATATGGAAACTGAGGACTGAGGACTCCCAGCAAAGACGACTATTTTGTTCAACCACTCCGCAGCTTCAACCAGTACCTTTGACTTTCACTTCAAGAGGGTTTTGGAATGCTATCCAAGTACCACATGGAGGGAGGTGCATTTAGCACTGCGAATATGCTTCACGTATGGTTCTAGCGACCACCTGAGGGGCCGAATTTCTTCCTGGATTGGGGGAGTTTCGTGAGGAGGACATTAACATACCAACCATGCTGTGTTTGATCCTACAGGTGGCCCTTCTTGTTCGTTAGCTTCAGCTCCGCCAGGCCTTTGTGGGCCCTATCAGGTGGGTTCGGACCACCTACCGACGAGGAAACAATGTTTGGCGGCTGCACCAACTCATCAGACATTCATGGCAGTTTAGTCTTTTCGTGGCTTTGAGAAGGTCCAAAACGCCGGCGAAGCGCACGACAGCAACGCGTGGATGTAGCTATATTTATAGAGCTACGTAGCACTGCACACCCAGCACCTTTGGTGGGGCAGATTTTCCCAGCATTTTGTCGCTCGCAGGTCGGGTCGCAGCAGTGGTCAACCCCTTGGGGCAGTGGCAGGCGGCCTTTTTCGGGACGCGTTTTGGCAAGCTGAGCGGGGTGGGAGTGCAGAGGAGTGCGAGTGGCCAAATGTGGGATTTGGGTCAACTGCGGGAACATCTTCTACTCGAGCATGGTTGGATTGGTTTGCACCTTTGGGTCACTCAAAGTAACGTGGCTCTTCTCACAACGAGTCGAGCCGTGCAATGTGCCTCGTCCGCAGTATTCAATGAACAGTGCACATGGTGAACTTCAGCTGATTCAAGCCACATGTTCATCTTTACGCTGCTTCACGGGCAAAGAAACAAATCGACCGACCAGTCCCTTCAGATGTACCTGCGAGTTCCGGAAGCAGTTTGAGCATGCTACTCTTGGGTTCCAACCTTCCGAGACGTTCGACCTCCGGAAGGTTTGCTAGCCGAAAGATGAGAGAAAGCAAGGAACTCCCGACACATTTTCAGAAAAACAACAGAAGCAAACTTGAAGCCCGGTCTCCTTCTCCTTGTCTCTTCATTCTCTAAATCACTCCCCTCTCTCTCTCTCTCTCCAGGCTCGCGGGGCGCGCCGCCCCCGGGCTTTTCCGATGCCTTCGGATCCGCGGAGAGGCACGCGTGGTGGCATGTGTTTTGCGCACGTGGCGCACGTGGCGTGTGGCGTGGGTAGAAAGGAGAAAGACTCTTTTATGGTGAGCCGGGGTGGTGGTGGTGGATTGTTTGCCTCTGTTTCTTTGTTCTGGTATTAAAACCCTTCTCTGTGTGTACGGTATTCTTTTTGCCCTGTTGATTTGTGTTGGGTAGCTTCACTGGCACTTTCTGCATCCTTCAAGCCATTTCAAGCGGTGCCTGAGCATTGCTTGGAGCCGCTTGCTATGACAAGTTAAGCTTGTTTGGAGTATATGTCCCGAAACATTATGCATCAGAGTCTTCCCCTGCAAAAGCTATTGATCGGTGGTCCGAATTCATGAAACAACTGCTCATCGACGATCAAAGCCTTTTGCCCAAGAAACACCTGCAAGACCACATGTCACATTACTCACGGTGTGTATCTTCACTCCACACCTGAATGAGACAGAGATGACCACACCTTCCTTTCGATTCTCAAAATGCGATCCTCATTCAAAAGCCCGTTTGCCCACCGTCTTCCTCCGTCTTCCGACCAAAATCCTCCGCCTTCCTCGCTGCAAACCGGTGGACTGTCCCATCTCGCCCAGGTTCGAGGGCTATCAGCCTTTGGATCGCTCGGGCTTTGGGGATGGGCCGGTCCCAACGGCCACCCGCGCGTGGTTCTATGCACCTCGGCGGCCGAGTGGAGAGCGCGGCGAGCGAACCGGCGGCCGCTCCGGGGCGCCATTGAAACACGGAGTGGTTCGTGTTTGGTCCACGGCTCGTGTCCGTTTTTGGGCGCTCATGTCGGAGAGCTTGTGCTGTGTCTTGAAAAGCTGAAATTCACCTCCAAAGTCACCTGTGCATGGTGTCAACATCAAATCCATATCCAAAACCACGCCTGGACTCGGTTTCGCTTCGCCCAAAGGCTTCACTGATTTCTTTTTTCCAAAACAAATCATTGAAAGGCATTGAAGAAGAATTTGAATTGATCCCATTCATGCAATCCAGGTCTTCATTTCTTTGTCGAGATCAACTGCCCTCAGCCGAACCAGGCGTTGACCAACATTCGCATCCGAGAAAAAGCCGATGTGCCGGGGAGCCTGGCGTTCTGATGTAAAACGCTTTGCTTGGCTGTTTTCCAGGATTGTCTGCCCTCATTGACTCATTGTGCTTGGTTCCAGCCAAAGTTTACTAAGTTTCTGAAGCCGTCTCATGCAGACAATGATTTGCGAGTAGCTTGGCATCATTTGCATCACAATGTTCTGTGGTCTGTGTACTGCAGAGACATTTTTGGTATTCTGACTTGTTCTACAAAGAAGCTTCTGAAAAAAGCCATTGGGATTCGTGCCCTCCAAAAGCTGCATGGAGATATCCAGAAATTCCAAAAGGCAGAGAATGAGACTCCAAACAACTTGAAAACCTGTTGAGAGAATCTTGTGTTCCAAGAAGCACCTACACTTTTGCATGTTGCACCAGTTGAAGCTTATCACAGCATGTTCAACAGACTTTTTCACTAGCTGTCACTAGCTGGTGCTCCGAACTGGAGCCATGGTTCCGGTCTCCGTCAGGGGTATCATTTATTCCTCCCATCTCGCATTGGAGCCAGTTGAGCAGTCCCTGTAAGAGAAAGGCTCGGTCCCTGCTGATGACGTTTCGTCCACATGGGCCAATTCTCGACCGAGCAGAGAGAGCTCTCGACGGAGCGTTTGCCAGGTCCTCCAGGGCACTGGGCACCGTGATTCGCCAGGGCGAAACCTTCGAGGCCGGGAGCGAGGCTCCGTCGGTCCGTGAACGAGCAGAACTGGAGCCTCGAAATTGGGAGGTTCGTTTCGAAATTGGTGACTGGAAACGATGGAGTTGGAGAAGAGGAATTTGGGATGAGAGGCCCCATCTCACCGGAGGGGCCTCTTCGATTTGAGCCCCCGGAACCTTTGGTGCCTTTTTGTGGGGTCAACAGGCACGGGGGCACATCGGTCGGGTGAGGGTGCAATGTGACAGAGAATCATCAAGAGCTGCGGCAGTGGATGCTTCAGAGGTCCTTAGCAAGAATTCTCCACTGAAAAAGGTAGGGCAACTTACGGTGTACACCTCTTGTACATGCCCAGCTCGTGATGTTCTGAATGCTGTACAAAAGTACTGGTGCGAAAGCTGAGAGTCCGGTGGGTGTGCATTTGGCTAGGCAGAGCTTCTTCACAAGCATACTGCTTAAGCACTGCATGCATCATACATGAGAACTTTGGTCTGCATCCTGGGTCAGCTTTTGTCGTGCAGTCGCGCAGTCAAGGAGTACTCGAGCAAGGAGAATTCCACAACCGTCGTGGAATTCATCAATCATTTGAGTGACAATGATGTTAATGTTTCGGCACAGAAACAAGCAAGCAGTGCAAATCATGGTTGGTGATGCAACCAATTCGAGGTACCCCAAAAAGGGGCACCCTAGTCCCCCAAATTGAACACTTCAGAGACGCGCACCTGCGAACACCACTGCCCTCCTCGTCGACGGGTCTGGCGACTCCCGTGGATCCCGCAGACGGGGAGCGGGGCGAAAAGCGCTGAACAGGTGGACGCTGAACTCGTGGTCACAGGCTCGTGGTCACAGACGGTCCAGACTCTTTCAGATGTGTTTGGGGCTGTTTTGTCCTGTTATCACGTTGCAGTTATTGCATTCATTGCTCATCCCACATTGTTGAGGCTATTGTCTTTTGGTGGGTTCTGATGTGGTCCCTTTTTCCGGCCCAGTAACATTGGACGGTCCAGTAGTTGAAACTAGTATTTCACTGGACGTGACCCCTTGTTACTTAATACTCTTGTAGGGATAGGAGCATTTATGAGGTAACTTTCACAGTTGCGTGAAGGGCTGTCTCTCGTTTGGTGAGACCAAAGACAGCGCTTGAAACATGTTCAATGAGAAGGGGTCAGAACTCCACATGTTTGGACGTGTTTTGGACGGACCCAGACGGATCAAGAACCCAACATCAAGCTGCTAGCGCTTGGCCAGGTCAGAAATACTTGAAGCTGGCAAAGCAGCACCTCGGAGAAGGAAATCCATACGGAAAACACACACACCCCAAGGTTCATCTAAAATCATTTTTGGACCTCCTTCTTTTCTGATGCTCTTACAGTGGCTTTTATGCAAATCACTTTTGCTCCGGAAATACGCAGAACCATGTTAGCTCATGGATACCATATGTGTCTCATCCATCTGTATCTAGAGCTGCATCAACTTGCGTCCGAGTTCTGAACCCGACCCCTTCCGACCCCTTCCCTTAACCGCAGAGCACAGGGCAAATTTTGCAGAGCACAAGCTGAACAACTTGGGACATCAACACATTAACATACACTTGTGATGCTGGTGATGCTACCAATGCTACTTGCATCATTTGCATTTATGGGATTCAGGTCACCAACCAACTCATTTATACCTTTCAGCTCCCTGGAGCACTCTTCGCCAAGCAGGTGGTCGCACCCTTGTCGAATCCATTCAGAAGTCCCGACCCAACTCCACCACGACGTCCAAGAACTGCGCAGAGTCCACGTTCTGCGGTCCTCTCCCTTCCCACCGACCTCATGAAGTCTTGGACGCTGCTGGTCGTCCCGCGCCTGCGAGGCCTGGGTGGGTCTTCACCCGGGGACTCAGCGGCGACTGGAAGGGTCGCGAAATCGCGAAGCGGAGCCCCTGAGTGGCGCGGGGCGCCTGGCGGTACTGTCCGCGAACTCTCGCGAGGCGGGTGCGGAAGCGGCGGCTGTTGATATGTGTTGATCTGGCAATCTGGATGTTTTGGGCCGGTATTGGTTCTTGATTTGCTTGGAGATCTGGGAGAAAGAGAGATCTCCAATTCACATACCTTCGACACTTGGTGCTGTCAGCGCCTCAGACCTCAGACCGCTCCGCGTGCATGCGCCACCCACCGCGCCACACCGTGCCAGGCCACGCAGGTCGTCACCGGACGTGGCTGGTGACGCTGCCGCTGGTCGTCCCCAGACGGGCTGATCCGATGAAGCGAAGATCCAATGAACGCCACGTCTGGAAGCAGGGGAAAAACGGGGCTAGGAGCAAGGACGCTACTAGGGGCTCCTGGCCTTAAACGGGGAAACTGGACTCAGGAAGCATCAAACCCAGAGCTGGTCGCCTACCCCATCGTTTTTCCTGCGGTCGACGGGCCAACTAGCACTTGGTCATATATTTGTTTAATCATGTCGGTCAACTGACGAGCGTTAGTGAAAGATTTTGCACTAGATGACCTATAGCTGACATTTAGCCTTCATTTGGTTTGTATTCCGTGACGCTTCCCCTAAAGAAGGGCATTTTCCCCCGGCACTCATGGTGGGAGGAAAAGGGATGATTGATGCATGTCGGCTCTTGAAGCCTTAGCACCCAGGAAACGACGAGTCCAGGGACAATTTCAACAAAGATTTCCACGATGGAGGTCCATCCTCATCCTTCGCTGTGAGACCCACGCATTTTCAGGGGTCTTTGACTATGGAGTTTTGGTTTGGGTGAAGATTGGCGATCACATGTAAAGAAAGGAACACCAGCCTCTGTGGGCTTGCTAGGAACAAGAAGCTATTAGGTTGGAGGCCATCGCTAGTAATTAGGTTGGAAGGCCATTGCTCTTAGGTTGGAAGGCCATCGCTACTAGGAACAAGAAGCTATTATATAGGTTTTAATGTTTCTTTGCAAGATTATATTTGTTTGTGATTTGTTGATGCAAGCTGCAAGAGGGCGTTGGATCTTAGAACAAGCAACCGGTCTTCACAGACATCAAGCTCCAACAAGGTCCCTTTCGAGGGAGAGATGTGGTCCTTCCATGGGGTAAACCATCGGATCACCCGGTCCTGGGATCCAACGTGGCTCAGCGTTTGAATCGTTTCTTGCTTGAGCCTGGAAAATCTTTGAATGGTGGATCAAGGCCCGGTCACGTGCAGAGAGCGTCATCGAAGCGGCTGCGAAAAACGTGGTTCCTGGGGCTGTGATATGCTTTGATCCACATCCGTTTCCAAGCCTGGCACACTGGGAGCCGGTGCAAGTGCGATCTCCAAGTAGGGAGTGAGTGTTTGCGCTACTTGGTCCAAGAGAGGGATGTTTGGACCAATCAATGCAGGTCCGCCTTTGCATATATTTTTGAAGAAAGTGATGGATTGAAGATCTCTCCAGTGATTCTGCTTTGACGATCATGGAGGGCAACGTGACAAACTTGCGGAAGATCGTTTGCACTGGACCTGCCTTGCTGAACATGGCTCGTCTTCAACATTCAATCCAACCCCAGGATTCTAGAGAATATTTTTGCTTGTTCGTTTGGATGGTTTCAATCCAAATCGTACGTGTTCATGGTACTTCCAGACCTCAGAATCAAGTGTGCCGGATGGCCCCTTGTTTTGCAGGAGCTCATCATCAAACAGGAAAGAACAAAGGTTTGTCTTCTGATTGGACAGGAAGAGAATATGCTTGTAAGGGTCTAGTCTAGTCTAGACGAAGCATGAGAAACTCTAGAATCGCTTTTCAATCTCCACATGATTTCCACCAACTCTGTTTACACCCTATAGCCAAGACCATGTGGCCAAGTAGCCTTGGGTAAGTAGCCTTGCGACCGACCATGTCCTGTGAGTTGCAGACGGTGCCGAATCGTTCTTCCGGAGGGGCCCAGGGGCCCAGGGGCCCGCGTCTGTCCGCGTCTTTTCCCACCCAGCGGTAGCGGACTGCGGTGGCTCGGTGGTCGGGGAAGGCTCCGGAGGGTCGATGAGGGTTTCCAAGGGGAGCTTCCGCGACCTGGCACAGGCTGCGATGGAAAAGAAGCCACTGCTGGATATGTGAAGAAGAAGAAGAAGAAGAAGAAGAAGAAGAAGAAGAAGAAGAAGA